CCCCCCCGGGGGGGGGGGGGGGTACTTTAGTAATTTCTGGTCGAGGGTGTGCCGCTGGGACCCTGGAACCCTTAACCTATACCAGAGCTAGTTCAGCTGAATTTTACTACCCTATACTAGCATAAACTCCCCAAATCCCCCCTATACTAGAGTAGCTGATTTCCAGAAACTTCTGAGGTCACTAGCACAGTCTAGCCAAAACACACCTTATACCACAATCCCTAGTCTACATAACATCTTCAACCAACTGATCAGTTTCCTGAAAAATGATACCCTGTTCTAGACCCACACGCTCTGATTTATATACCCTATCCTAGAGTAAACTGCTTGAAAACCATACCCTTCGCAGCGGCATTTACCTATATAGCCCATATATGGCAGTACCCCCCCCCCCCAAGCATACGTCCTATATTTGACAAAGCAGGTTGAATAAATGGCCGCTATTGCTGACGTGGACCTGCTATCTACTTTACACTATAATGAATTAATATCTAAAAATATATCCTAATATAAATAATTATAAATAGAAATAATATATAAATAAATAGATATGCTTGAGATAACTATGTAAAAATAAATATATAAATTGCAATCAAAATGACTAGTAATAAACCAGATATCAATAATATATAAATTCATCACTATTATTATTGGTTGCAGTAGGGTTTGTGCCGAAAGTAATTTGGTCAATGCATTTGGAGAATTTCTTATGTTGGCCTTGAATGAAGAGTAACTAGGCCTGGTCTTTTACTGGCTAGGTAAGCAATTCCAAACAATGCCACTGAGCACGATGAGTGAAAACACGAAAGTGATCAAAACCCAAAGTGAACCCAACTATTTTCCCAAGGGGAGCTTTAGGGAAAGGTCTAGTGTAACCGCACCTAATGAGTTGCCAGTCATGGAAAAGCCCCACTTACTAAATGTGGTGAGTGCTTGCGATCATATTCCTGCTGAGGCATAATTCCTCCCTCTCCTGGCATTGTAGAATATACAGTCTGAAAAAACATTGAACCTGTTTTGTTTTGAACTGTATGGCATTAATAAGCATAAAAAAGAAAACTCTTGGTCTAGCTTAACATACACCATCAACATGCTAATTCCAAAGCATTCACTTTATACATTCCAAGCCCGCTTTATGGGCACCCATTTAACCCTCTAAGTCCCAATAGTGACAAAGGTCAATTTTCTCTTAACAATATTCATACACTGTCAAGAGATAAGTTATGAGAATTAATAAAATGATCACCCAAGAGAAAATGCCTTGATCTTTTATCAAATTCTCAAAACTAATTCTTTGAGGAAATGTATGGAGATCAGTTTGGAGAATTTCTATGTAGATACCGGGGCTTAAACGGACAGTTTCCTTTATCCATGGGGCAAGAAAGCTCTTACATTTTCTCTGACATCCTGTTAATACAGACATTTTCTATTGTCCCCTCAGTGTCTGAATTAATGCTGTGTGACTGTATTACGTCGGTTATCCTTTGCTTCTTGTTTTGTTAATTCCTGCCATTTTCATCTTGACTTACTCATTGTTGAGCACTTATATTTCAACGTGAGCCCTCTTGATTAGCTTCCTCCCTCACAGGACAAACTTTTTATAAATATGTTATTAAAAATTGAGGCAATTTTAGTTATTCTATAGGAAATTTCCAGGGCTCAAAATAATTTTCAGACAATGGCCAGACACGACGTACTGGCCAAAGAAATTTTGGCTCGGTCAAGTCTCATTCTGACTTCTTAACTTATCCTTGTAGAGTTCTCTATTTATTAACCTAATTTTATGTTTACAAAGAGACAAAATCTAAGATTTACAGGTGAGGATTTGGCTGTATTTTCAAGAATGAGAGTGCATGTGAAACCGGTCATTATGACCAGCAAGTGAAGTTTTTGGCTGGTCAAGTCACCATTCTGGCTGGACATTGTCTGTTGACTGGCCGTCATGTACCTGAGGATCTGTTGCGTCCTCAGAAGCCTTGTATGACACCTGAGCAGACGTGAAGTTGAATACTCCAGACTTCTTAGGTTCAAGAATTAATGTGTGAGAAACATTAGCTCCACTGATTGTTTAGTTAAGGAAAAATTACAGCTAAAATAATTATCACGACTCAGATGTTTTTCAAAGAAAGTAATTCTGCTGTAAGTGAGTGTATAATAACTGTAAAACATTGTGGTTCAATTTCATCCTTGGTTCACTTTCCTTTGTTTAAATTCATTATCATACATTATCATACCCAAAAACAGAGGAAAATAAAATTTGAACCAAGAATGAAAATTTAACCACAACCTAAATACCAGTACACTTTTAAAGATAGAAAACAATGGTTAGGAGCTATGCTTAAGACTTGCTGATTATCAAAACACTGATGGGAAATTAGAACAGATTAGTATAGGTAATAGCATGATTTGTATTGATGTTTGGCATAAATACCACGAGTGATATTTTGATATTGTTACATGTAATTTCGAAATTTGAGACAATTTTGAAATATCACGAGTGGTATTTATGCCAAATATCACCAACAAATCATGCTATTATTTGTTTATAGTACTACTGGCAAAAGGTTTGTAATTTTCACATGTAAGTATTTCAAATTAAGCCGAAATACCACTGCCCTAAGCCAATCAAATTGTAGAAATTTTTTCATGTAGTAGTATCAAAACAAATTTATTAATTTTTTACTCCCAGAATTCTGCCAGGAGTAGAGGTGAAAATGATTGTTACTCTTTCATGGCAATTACATATTACCAGGCCAAGAAACAAGATGAAATCAAGCCATATTTAACCTGTTATAATATACTCGCAGAATTATAACTTTGAAAATACTAATGCTATTTGGAATTTCATTATTTCTTTTGATGCAAGACCACTAGGTTGCTATCATAACACAAGAAACTAATTTTTTGCAAGA